CATGAAAACCTTAAAAACAAAAACAGTATTTTGAGAAATGGGATTTTTAGACAATGTTTCTCTTTGATTATTTTTTCTTAACAAGTTTGTCTGATACAATGTTTATAAAAGAAAATGGGAAAAGTCGCCATGACAAGCATGCATAAAAAGAGAACAAAAAGCACAAAAAATGTTGGTGAAGACCTCACATATATACAACAAGGGAGAAAAGATAATCTTTTCAGCAAATGGTGTGAGAACTGAACATTCACCACAAAAATCAGTCTAGACAGAGATCTTATAGCTTTCACAAAAATTAACTCAAAATGAATATGAGATCTAAATATCAAACACCTAGAAGTTAGCAAAGAAGAAAGCTGAGATGACCTTGGGTACAGCAATGAGGTTTTAGCTACATCAAAGACATGATCCATGAAAGAAACAAGTGACAGCTGAATTTTACTAAGATGAAAAACTCCTGCTGAGCAAATCACCCAACATTAAACAACCTGGATGGGAGAGGAGGTTGGAGAAGGGTGGTGGTGGTGGTCTAGTTGCTCAGTTGTGTTCGACTCTTGTGACCAAATGGACTGTGACCGTCAGGCTCCTCTGTCCACGGGATTTTTCAGGCAAGAATACTGGAGTGGGTTGCCATGCCCTCCTCCAGGGGATCTTCCCAACCCAGGGATCAAACCCAGGTCCCCCGCATCGCAGGCGGATTCTTTACCACTGGGCCACAAGCGAAGCCGACAATCTCCAGGACTCTGCTCCAGTGAGCCTTCCTGCCACAATTTGTGTCATGGACCTCAAAGCTGTTTGTTCTAAGCTATAACCAAAATGTGGACTCCCGCAACAAAGTGTACTTTGAATTAAATACAGGGCTGACCAAAATACTCTGAAGAGAAAGGGGCTTTAACAGGTGTCTACAATAAACCATTTTCTACGTTTCTGAAATTCCAACTTCTGTGAAGACACAAAAGTTGATGACAATGTGCTCCTTTTACTGCCTTCAGACCTCCTTGCCATCTGTAAGCAGTGTCTGTCCACAAAAGCTCTGCTCTGAGGTTTCAAGGAGGTCTCCTCCAGTCACAGCTGAAGTTTGTCTTCCCAATTAAGCCGGCTATTAAAGGCCAACTTATAAAGAGAAGAGAGTCAACACTTAATTGGGAAGTAAATCACCTAACAGTAAGTGGTAGACACATTTCCCAATTAAAAATCTGACAAGACCTCACAAAAATAAAATAGCATCTCCAAAATGCCATCTTGCTTGTTTCCCATTTAGAGAGGCTGCCTGCCCCAACTTCACACCAAGCAAAAGGTTAGGGGGGAAAAGATCAATAGAGAAGCAGGAAATGCTATGTCTGCGTGTGTCCGTAAAACTGTCCAAATTGTACATCAGCAGGTAATCAGGTCTCTGTCCACCTGACTAGTTTCATTTTAAAGGGTCAGGGGCAAGACCTAAACCAAAAGCTGTGGTTAACAGCAGCTTCTAAACTCAATCCTAAACACTATGCCTCCTCATCAAAGCCCCGCCTCACGAAAGAACCGCTTTTGTTAAATCCCAGAGTGCACCCTCCGAATCATCTGGCCGCCCTGAAATGGTTTTATTCAGTACTTTGTAAATGGTTAAGAATTTCACTTATGAGTCTGAAAGCACTTAAATAAATCATCCACCAAATGTAACCCCTCCACTACAATTACGCTATATTTTTTTACATCATTTTGACTTTTAAATGCCTTAAAGTGATGCACTATCACACAAGCAAAATAGTCACCATTTAATTACTTGGTACCATGGCTGCAAATAGTGATGAAGCGTGGGTATTCCCCATGTCTACTCTGACACTGTCCTCAGGTCAAACCCTCATCCACCTACAGTCTTTTTCCAGTTAAAAGATGCTTCTAACAATAAATGGTGTTCCAACTAATAGGAATAGTACGGGAATATAAAGTGCCATGCTAATACTAATACATAATAGAGTACAGAAATGACACTTTTACATATCAGAGCAGGAGAACTGAAGGAGAATTTTTAACATTCACTATTCAAAAAAGGAAAACAACTGCCCATTGATAGAAAAAGATAAAGCTAAACTAATCAAACTCTTCAAAGGACAATGGACTCTATCACTCACAAGTCATTTATTTTGTGACAGACTGACAGGTCCAAAGAAGCCTGGAAGAGAACTGGCATGTACCAGACACATCTTCAGGGATGTTCAGATTTTATAAACATGAGTCTAAAATGGTTTTCCTTTTTGAGGCTTGTTGCCAAAGCAACCAGGAAAGCTCCAGTCTTTGAGAGAGAATTTGAAAAGAGGTTAAGGATAAGAGGAGGTAATCAAAGTTTCATGCGAGGAATTTACAATCATGAATACAATGTTGCAAGAAGAGTAACAGGAAGAATACAAATTGAACAGATAGACAAAGCAGCAACTTCAGAGTCACAGAACAATCTACTAACAAGAGATATGAATCCTCCATTCTTTTTATTTCCATTTTATTGAGATATATTTGACATACAACATTGTAATTATTTAAGGTACACACATAATGATTTGAGATATACGTATATTGCAAAATGATTGAGCCAGTACGTTAGCATCCATCACCACAGATTTTTCCTTGTGATAAGAACTTTTAAGAGCTACTCTCTTAGTTAACTACTTTCCTCTTTGCATTCTTCCCTCAAGTACGACTCCCGAAACTCCCCCACCCCAAATACCAAAGTAAAACGACCATTTTCCTCTCATTCGCTGCTATTATTTATGAAATGGAAACCACTGGCTGTTTCAGAGCACATCAGGTGGGAGACAAGGAATTAGCAGCACCCAAATTTTCACTCCAACACCAAAATTTTCCTGTGACTCAGAAATGTTGAAATACTCCGACAACAGTAACATCCAGTCTTAAACAAGGTCCTATGTAACCATGAACCCCAATCCTTACTAACCTTGCCCAGGATGCTAGACCTGGACACTCCAATATAGCATGCTGGTAACAGATTATAATAAAGTAAAAATGTTATTCAAGTGGTCTGAGGTGGCCAAGGACAGAGAAGAAAAATGAGTTAACAATATACAACAGAAGTCAGAGTGAAAAATGTCCAGGTCCAAATCATGGTGGTAATGTGAAGGTAACAGAGATGGAAATAAGAAACACATGGTCAACCACCAAATCATATTCCATAACACCCAGCAGGAGATTCCCCCTGAAGAACATATAGGCATAGTCAACCAAAGGCAACGAATGTTTCCAATCAGTATAAGTTAAAAAAAAAAAAGCTTTAGTTTAACATAAAGGGTTTTTCCAAATATAAGACATTTTGGGTAAACTTAAATGACCTTTAAGGAAACTGATATACAAAGTACAAGAAATGAGCAAAGACTACAAAATCATAAATACATAACTGAGAAGGTACATTTGTATATACTGCTATCTTCCCTAATCCCCACTCCACTTTTGTTGAAAATAACTGCTCCTTCTCCGAGATTTCCAGCACATTTCATCTGTCTCTTCTAGTCTTATGTCACGTTGTTACTTACATATTTTATCCCTCAAGTAGTCTATACTCTCAAGGGTACCATCATGTCAGATTCATCTTTGCAAAACTCAGGGCATTCACTCATTCATTCAACAAATATTTACTAACTACATAGTAAGTGCCAGGCTCTGTACAACAGACACTAAACTTGTATTGTTTAAATGAATGTTGACTATAAAGCAAAAATAAATAAACAAATTGAAAAAGGAATCCAAATAAATTCATGTATTATAGTTCCTCAGGAATGAAGTTGGGGAACTAAAAATATTGTACTTGGAGTTTTAGTATCATGATAAACATTTACACTACTGGTGTGTTGTCTTGGCAAGACTGGGTCCACAAGAAAACTGCATTTCCTCTGTATGACCTACCAAGTATATCACATATGCCCATACAGAGAAGAATTATCCTCTTGATCCTAAAGAAAATTTAGTAATAATGATTTCGTATGTCACAATCTTACTTCTAGAGAAGCCTAAATACCCATGAGATGGGTCTTTATCAGTCCATGAGCGGGTGGGCTGTCCTAAAAGTTAGATCTGTTCATTCATTCAAAAGGCTACTAACTACCAGATACTGTTGAACCTGGGTTTTTAAAAGGTCATCAGAAGCCCTCCAAAACTCAACCAAAAGTTTAGCATAGGTGGGGGAAAGGGGGAGGGAGATGTTTCATTTTATGAAAAAATACATGGATTGAAATTCACGTGCTAACAGCATAAAGTGTCATAATACATTTTGTTCAGCTTGCTTTTAGCCACTCCCTGAATCATCCTTAGCAGGATCTGAATGAATTCTCCACTCTTACTATAATTTACTTTAAGAAAAGGTGGCCCCTAGAAGGTCGACCACTCCTTACTCCCACCATATATAGTCTGGGAAAATGATATGCATAGAGGATAACTTGAAATTTGCTTTGCTTTTTAAAGACTAGATAGGAATACGAAGGCAGAACAAAAATCAGCACGGATGTGTGCCTTCAAATCCACAACTCTTCTAACCAGCTCACGACAGGCTACCGTATTTGAGGCTGAGCCATGCACAGGTGGTTGGAGGTGTTCAACGTTGTGAAAACAAAATCTGCAATTTGTGACAGAGGTCTGCGGACGTCAGGGCCTGACACCCAGAAGTCCAGGGACCAAGGTGAGCGATGCTGAAGACAATCAATCAATACATGTATGAATAAGTGAACACACCGGGCTTTCTCTACCAAACCCCAAAGAGCGTGCTTTTAGGGCCCGGGGACCCTAGTGGAAAGCTCTGGCAGTAAATTAGAAAAACATTGAGAGGCCAGGCTCCTCCCTCTGGCCCAACCCCAGAGAAAAATTGAGAACTGCGGGGGCCCTTGGGAGGGGCTGGGGGGAGGCAAGGAGGAAAGGGAGGGGTCGGCAGGGTGGAACCCAGCTAACCCTTCTCCCTTCCAAAGCGGAAATCGAGCCGCTGCCCCCTGTCCCCTGCCCCTGCCTCCTGCCTCCCTCACCTGATCACAGAGATGAGCAGCCCCGAGGGGTCTTTGCTTTTGCTGACTGTGCTTCTGTATTTCCCACCAGCTCCTTCTGCCGCCATCTTGGTACGAGGGGGAGAGCGGGTGGGCTGGAAGGAACCAAGTGTAAACTCGGTGATTGACCTCTCTGTAGAATGCACCAATGGGAGAAAGGAAGTCCAAAGTCACGGAACTGGCTAACCCAATCGCTGAAGAGAGGAGGCGGGACCTAGGAAGTAAGTTTCAGGCGCGCTCTAAGCACTCTGGGAACTGTAGTTTCCTTCCGCGGTTCCAGGGCGCGCAGGAAAACTAATACAGTTGCGATGTGGTGAAATCTTCTTATATCTTTATTTGTATTTATTCTGATCTTGAGTTTTTCCCCCAGTTTTATTGTTTTTAGAATTTTATTAGTTTTTAAATCATATTTATCTGATGATGCCAAAATGCGTACTTGGGGTGTGTATTTCAGTAGGGTCTGTGTTTGATGTCTGTATAACAGTTTTTACTTTAAACACAAGTAGTTTTTTTTTTAATCCAATAAAATGCGAAAATGGATAGATACAGAAATTCTTTTCTGTAGTATTATCTAAAACTAAATGCTTATGCATTAGTTTAATGTGTGAATTCAGTTATTTTGTTATTTCCGGACAATTCGAAAAAACATGCAAGGAGTAACACACAAATGGATATTGATAAAGAAAACAAAAACCCAGAAGCAAAACTGACCAGTTTGCAGATCCCTTTTCTTCTCAAGCTAAATAAAATATAACTGGCAATAATGCACAAATGTGCTTTATTAAGATTTTTATTGGTAAGTTTTCATATGTCCTGCATCTGGTTCAACTGGCTTAGTCATAAATTCAGTAGATGAAATGAACAGAATAAGATTACCATAAGAGTGGAAAGTGCATAAATTGAGGCGGGAAGGGCGAGTGATCTGCTTAGTAGCAGTAGAGATGAAAGAACCTCAGAGATGAATAGAAAGCAAACAGAGAGGTCCTGGAGCTGTGAAACAGCAAGCACAGAGCACCTCCACTACTTTGATTAGGCAGGTGTCAGTTGGCAGAGGTTCACAGTGATTTTATAAAATAACTTGCAGATACACACACACACACACACACATACATATTTTTTTTAAGTGTTCCTTACCTTTGGCTCAATAATTCCAGTTCTAGGGGTTCTGATTCTAGAGAAATAGAGATTCAGAAAAAAAAATTTTTTTTTTAATTTTTAAAACAGCATAGAAGTATTAAATAAATTATAGAACATCCATACAAGAATATAACATGTAGCCACTGGAAATCATAATTTTAGTGGTTTTTAATGAAGAAAAGATGTTCATGATATACTTGCAAAAAAGCAGGTTATAAAATTAAAGAATGCACGTATGTGAAAAGGGGTAATTGAGCCTAGTGGCTAATGATGTAGGCAGTAAGAAGAAAAAAAAAAAAAAAACAGGATCACCTCAGTAGATACAGAAAAAGCTTTAGACAGAATTGAATAACCTTTTCATGATGAAACGCTCAGAAAACTGGAAGTAGAAGGGAATTTGTTCAATATGATAAAGATTGTTTATTAAAAACACACAACTAACACTCAGTGGTTAAAAACTGAATGCTTTTCAGCTGTGATCTGGTACAAAACAAAGATGCCCACTTTGCCATTTCTGTTCAGTGAAGTACTGAAAAGTCTAGCCAAAACAATTAGGCAAGTAAAAAATAAAAGGCATTCAAATTAGAAAGAAAGAAGTAAAACCATCTCTATGTGTAGACAAGGTGGTTGACATATGGAAATCCTAAAGAATTTTTTAAAAATTATTAGAGCTAATAAATTAATTCAGCAAGGTTGCAGGATGCAATATCAAAACAAAAATATCAATAGTATTTTTAGACACTAGCTATGAACAATCAAAAAAGGAAATTAACAAAACAATTCCATTTACAGTAGCATCAAAAAGGGTAAAATATTTAAGAATAAATTTAACCAAGGAGATGAAAGACTTAAACACTGAAAACTACAAAACTTTGCTGAAGGAAATTAAAGAAGATGTAAATAAATGGAGAGACATCCTGTGAGCATGGCTTGGAATAATTAATATCATTAATATGTCAGTACTCCCTAAAGCTATCTACAAATTCAGTGCAATCCTTATGAGAATTCCAATAGTCTTTTTGCAGCATTGGAAAACCTGATCCAAAAGTTTAAATACAAGGGATTTACATGTATTGCAAGGAACCTCAAATAGCCAAGAAGAATCTTGAAAAAACTATGGTTTGATATGTGGTATATGATTGAGGTATCAACAAAATGTGCCGTAATAACAAAATGTGACATATCAACATCCAATGGAATATTATTCAACCATAAATGGAAATGAAATACTAATACATGCTATATCATTAATGAAACTTGAAAACATTATACTAAGTGAAAGAAGCCAGATGCAAAAGGCTCAATAGTGTATGATTCCGTTTATTTTAAAAAAATACCTAGATTAGAGGAATTCATACAAACAGAAAGCAGATGGGTGATTTGCAGGGGTTGAGAGGTGGTGGGAATGGATAGCAACTGCTTTATAGACGCAGGGTTCCTTGTGATTCACTCCCAGCCCTTCACCTGCTTGTTAGATTATCTTAGTGTGTGCATGCTCAGTTGTCTCCGACTCTTTGCAACCTCATGAACTATAGTGCACCAGGCTCCTCTGTCCATGGGATTCCCAGGCAAGCATGCTGGAGTGAGTTGTCATTTCCTCCTCCAGGGGATCTACCCAACCCAGGGAACAAACTGGAGTCTGCAGTGTCTCCTGCATTGGCAGGAAGATTCTTTACTACTGCGCCACCAGAGAAGCAGACTGTCTTAGATGAGTTACTGAATCTTTCTGGGCCTCAGTTTTCTTATCTATAAAGCATATGATAGAACTTCCTTCAGACAATTATATTAAGACTATGACATATACATGACCAGCACTTTGTAAATAGTACGTGAGCCATGAACTTCCAGATGTTCAAGCTGGATTTAGAAAAGGCAGAGGAACCAGAGATCAAATTGCCAACATCCACTGGATCATTGAAAAAGCAAGAGAGTTCCAGAAAAATATCTATTTCTGCTTTATTGGCTATTCCAAAGGCTTAGACTTGTGTGGATCACAATAAACTGTGGAAAATTCTAAAAGAGATGGGAATACCAGACCACCTGACCTGCCTCTTGAGAAACCTGTATGCAGGTCAGGAAGCAACAGTTAGNCCTGAATATTTATTGGAAGGACTTATGTTGAAGCTGAAACTCCAATACTTTAGCCACCTGATGCAAAGGACTGACTCATTTGAAAAGACCCTAATGCTGGGAAAGATTGAAGGCAGGAGGAGAAGGGGACGACAAAGGATGAGATGGTTGGGTGGCATCACTGACTCAATGAACATGAGTTTGAGTAAGCTATGGGAGTTGGTGATGGACAGGGAGGCCTGGCATGCTGCAGTCCGTGGGGTCGCAAAGAGCTGGACATGACTGAGCGACTGAACTGAACTGAACTGGGTATTACAAAGTTGTTTTGAGGAGCAGGAAAAAGGTAATTTTTTCATTATTTTTAACACTTTACTGTGTTTTCCAAATTTTACCTGAATAGGCATTGCTTTTGTAAGCAGAACTTTAAAAAAAAAAGCAAGAATTGGTTAAGCATCAAAAATGATGGGCCACTTTCATCACTGGAAATGCAGTTACATGATAATTAAATCAACACACCCCAATTAAACCTTCATTCAATACATTGTTTTTACAGGAAACCTTTGTACAATTGTATTTTCATCTTCAGGTGACAACCATACCCTTTCACATTGCTTCTATCCTAGGTGATCTTCTAAACTAATTCTAAACTTGCACTAAACTGTTAACAACAGGGAAAATTTAAGGGGAAGGCACGGTGTGTCTGCTCGTTTGTAACATTCAACCTTAAATGCAAATTCCCAAACTCACCAGCCTACTTGGACCAACTAAGGCTATGAACATCAAAGTGATTTGATCTCCTGCAATACAGGAGATGCAGAAAACCTGGGGTTAGATTCCTGGGTTGGGAAGATCCCCTAGAGGAGAAAATGGCAACCCACTCCAGTATTCTTGCCTGAAAGATCTCATGAACAGAGGAGTCGGGTGGGCTACAGTCCCCGGTATCACAAAGAGTCGGACACGACTGAGCACACACATGCAAGCAAGGGATTGACAATATACTCCTCTGTATGGAGGGGCTGACATGCTATACAGGAAAAGAAAAGGAAATGACCATAAACCACAGCATTAATGCCCAAAGAACAAGAGCATAATGTTGCAGATGTTTCAGTGGGAAACAAGCAAGGAAAGCTTTCCTTTCTGTAGGAAAGTTTCCTACAGTGGTCTTCATGGAATAGGTGGGTTATAAGTAAACTTGACCTCCCCCACCGCCCCAAAAAAGAGTACAGACTTAAAACACCTAAGGAGGAAGTGAAGGGCCTTGTAGAACAGGTTAAGGTACAATACAAAGTGAAGACATGGCTCCTATTTTAAATGAATAATTTGAGTAAAATAAAGAATTCATAGAGAAAAAGTGGAGTCATGGGTGAAAAAATATAGAGATCCACTCAGAAAGGACCTTGAACCCTACGGCCAGGCATCAGATATGTTTGTGCAGTGAAGGTGAGAAGCAGTGTATGCTCAGGTCTTGTTTTATGCTGTCTATTATATTGTAAACCAGGGCAGACTGTTTCTTATTATTACATGTGTAAATATACCCAGAGGCTCTTAAAGCCATGGGAACATCCAATTAAATTAAAAAGCTTTGACCTCTTTGGATGAGAGGCTCTGTATAAATCCAAGGTATTGATATTCTTATTATGGTGGATAAATGAAATGTGTGAGTGAGGCTAGCTCAGCAGCAGAATGGTTTCCCTGAGATTCATAAAAAAAGTAATAATAATGCCAGACCTGAGTCTGTGCAGGACACCCAGCACAGATCCAAGGGATTTTTAAAAAGAGTGTCTCATAATATTAGCCATGTGGGCAGAACTCTGAAAAAGGAGCTATTTCATGCCCCCATCAACATTGCCTGCTCACCCAAGATATAAAAAGAGTGCTTTAGGCATGGCTGAGTAAATCAAGGCAGAGC